TTTCTACAGGGAATTTAAAATTAGATGCAATGAAAAAGAAAAGACTAATTCGATGCAAGGAGTTTTTTTTTATTCTTATGTTTCGAAAACCGATAGCAGCACAATTAATCACAAGATCGTATTTTCTATTTAACTTGTAAACATTCTGATTGACATAACTAATTACCGATAGGGATTCTTACACAAACGATGGAGAAAAATTCCTGCACAAGCAAATGCTGGATAGAAGGCAGACTAGAAGAACGACGCAGTGACAAACGACGACAGATCACCCCCGGGGATGACGAAAAGCATAAAAAATATCCGGTGTGTGGGGTGGTGTCGACGTCATTCTATCCATCAAGCTTCGTTCGAATGTCTGCACGAAAGCTCCATCTGTCACTTAACTGATGGAGATACCGATACTTGTCGGGAAGTCTTTGATAAGTAGTTACTAATCGACTTTAAAATAATGGACGTTGTCTATGCTAAATCCCTCTTTTGCATTATTGAAATTTTTAGAATATTCTATAAAGAATAAGTACATTTATTTACAAGATTGTATGAGTATAATTTTGACAATTAATAAATTAATTTTTACATTAAATTTACCATAATCTTCGCATGGTTTTAATATTTAATTCATACAAATTTTAAACCTCAAAAATGATTTTTCTCTATAATCTTCTTTATTTTCTATTACTGTTTCGAGAATTAGCAATATTGTAATTTTAATAACAAGCATGACTTTTAGATCTTTCATTCCATTAGATATAATATTAAACCCAACTTTCTATTGTAAGATCATGCTCTTAAATGGCTTCCAGTTTGATTAAGAAGACTGAAGATCTAATTAATATTTTAAACTGACGTTTTATAAATTTACTAGAATAATTTTTAAATTATTAAATAGATAAAAATTAGAAATTTTGATACCAAGTTTCGCATTTCGTGCCTAATAATTCCAATTATTGTTATTAATTTAGGCTGTTTGGTTACAGAGTTTAGACAAAGTTATAACAAAAAAGCGAAATAAAAATACTTTATTTAAGACCTTTACGTAGTGATGTTATATTATATGCCATAGAATAAAACACGACAGCTATATCAGTAATTGGAACTTGTTATTATTGATAGATCTAGCGTGTGATTATAACCAAAACATTTCAATATTTTATTCATTACGTCACTTAAATATCGAACCAATTTATCATTAGATAATGGAACAACTTGTACTTGTTACCAAACTGGTTTGCCATGGGAATTGCATTAACTCTAGTTTATGTAATCTGTACTTTGTTAAGGTAAAGTCAAATGCACTTTGTAAACACAATAAATCCTTATTAGTTATTTATTGTACAACATGGTAGCAATTAGTTTGAAGTAGATTATTTCAATTTAGACTATGTAAAATTATCTATCATTTAAGAAAAAATGGTTTAATAAATTATTTAGTCAACACGAAAATTTTTTTTGTCAGTGTAACTTAAATGGATTTTTTAATAGATTTTTAATGAGGAAAAAGTATAACTATTGTTTAGTATTAGCCTGGTAATAATTTTCTTAAGAATTATAATTATTACGCAAATTGATATCAATTAAAATTTCATAATAACTTCTTACTTCATATGTTTAATAGTTATTCATGATAACTATATATATACATGTAAATAAATTTTCAGTTTGAAAATGATTTGGTAATCTCAAACATAAGATATAATTCATTTAAATATTCGAATGAACTTTATATTTTATTAATTAGAGAAAAACAGTATTTATAAATAGGTTTATTATACTCACAGAGAATTTAATTAACTCTTTATTTGTCCAAAAAATTAAAATTTACAGTAAAATTATATTCATGATCAATGCAAAACTCTTCAAAACATTATAAAATATGAAGTAATTTGATTCCAAAACAATTTATAAAGAGCAGGAACAAGTTAATGAATTTCAGATATTCTTGGTCAAGGTTTAATATTATTTCATTTACTATAGCCTACAACAGAAATTTAAAATTCGTAATGTTAACTCAAGAAATTTTATAATTTCAGTTATTTCAAGAATAAAAATTTTAAAACTTAGAAGTTCTGTATGCTTCTTGATTGATTTTCTTCGTCTTTTTAATGATTTAAAAATAAAATTCCAGAATTGGAATGTTTAGATTTATCTTAAATTAACTTATATGAGGGAATTTTGATTTTTAATTGATTTTTACTATTTTAAAATAATTTACTAATTTATAATTGTCCTAGTTTTAATATTATGATAACGTTAGTGTTATAAAAAGTTAAAAATAGTTATATTTTTGGTAGAGAAACAAACACATCAGTGCAAAATTTGGACTACTGTAAAATGGATTCGTCGCTATATATATGGGGTATATATTTTTCCTTTAATTAAAATCGTATATATTTAGCTGCAAAATAATCTCATAACTGATAATTAAATTCATTAATTAACATTTTTTTTTGTTGTTCCTGTTATCATTAGATTTCTAATTGGTGTTTAATTCATCGATAACAAGTTTCTCTTCACAGACTCACCTGTTTCTTTCAAAATTAAAGAAGTCTAAGTAAAATAAATATAATTTGTATTATAATTGTCTGCTTTATTTAATATAATTATTTTAAGCTTTTTTTTTTGTATATTTTTTTGTATGGAATTTTGTGCTGCTGTGGAAAAAAAATCTTCTGTCCTAAAACATTAGCTAATTGTAAATAAAATAAATAAATTATTAACCTCAGTCAGTTTTTAATGAAACTAATCGGGTGCTAAACTGTAATTTAAAAATGTTAAAAAATTAAAATTACGTTCATATCGATAAAACATTAAGTTATTAATACAAGGCTTTAGGATAATAAATTTTAAATTTACGTGTTGTAATATAACATTTTCATTTATTTAATTATTTTAATTTGTTACGAAAATCATCATCCGTAACCAACTTCTTAGCAAAGCTTAGATGATAGAATGTAAAAGATGATCTATGATAAAAGTAAAATAGCAGTCAAGAATTAAAGTAATTATTAATTAAATTATGTTAAAATAATCTTTATATATAGGTCTATATATAAATTTAGGTTATGTATTAAGACCAAGTTAATAGGTTAAGATTTTCTAATAAAAATTGAAATATAATGCAAGGATTATTCTTGCTGTGAGACGAGACGTGGAAGTAAACAAATAAATTTATTCATTAATTTAGCAAACAATGTATTAGAAATTAAATAAATAAAACTATTTAAAGCTTTCTTTATCTCTTAAAAATTTGCTTTTTTTTACGATTTTATGGTTGAATATAGCCTAACAGATCTAAAAACCAATTTAATTTATACATAAATATATTTTAGTTAATAAAACTGAGTAAACATGATTTATTTAACAGCCTAAATCGATTTAATTAATAAACTAATAAGCTAATAGTAAAAAAAAAACTATTTAAAACATTTGGTGTAACGATAGATTGCATTATAATAGACTATAATTATCTTTTTTTAAATTTTTTTTCGTTCATTAAGATGAATGAGAATAGAAAGCAATTTTATTTTTCCAAGATCAAACAGTTATTTAAACTGTACAACTTAATTACAGCTAAGCCAATCGCTTTATTAGCTTTTGGTTGTAATTAGGTTGTACACACGAATTTTCCTTTGGCCTCGAGCGAATTCAAAGAAAAATCGTGCATAACGCATTCAACCTATCACAATCTCTCACAATTAATTTCATTTTAATAAATAAAAATTTTGTATAACATTTAAAAATAAAAATAAAAATAATAAAATTTACTAATTCAAAAAAAAATCTTTTGTTTATTAACACTTTAATCGACTATTTATAGTTGATTTTTAAATAAAAACGAAGAATATTTCAAATTATAAATATAATTAAGTTTTCTAAATTATAATAAAACTTAATTATAATTATAATTTAAAATATTTTTGTTTAATTACATAAAATAATAAAAAAATAAACTCAAAAAATAATAATTTATTTATTAAACAAATTTCTAAATCAATTATGCTTATAAAATTTATGATTCACACAAATTAAACATATTCTTTTATTTATATAATAAGATTTTAAGCATTAAACTTATAAGATTTAAAATAAAACTGTATGCTTATTATATATATGCATACACCATTTTTTAAGTCTAAATATTTATAAGCTTAATATAACTCAATTTTAAAGCTAAATATAAGCTGTAATTTCTACAAAAATGTAAAATAAATATTGTTTTTTGCTGAATTAGATTTAATAAAATATTATTAATAATAAACCATTATTATAGGCTTACTAATTTCTAGAATTTTTCTTGCTTATTTTATTTAAATTTTTCAACTGTTATTAAAATTAATAGCCAATTTCCAATTTGTGTAAACTTTAAAGGCACTGTACTGTACACCTTCAGTTTAATTTAAGCTGATTGGTTTAAATCTGCAGTAATTTCTCTCGATACCTCTAAACTGATTTAATATAGATTAGTAAGCGCATATTTTTATAAAATTATTACAGATTTTTTAATAAGTTTTAAGTTTCAGGCCTGTGGAGGCCTGTACAGTACATAACTTTTAAAATATTACATAACTTTATACTTTTATCTGATTTATCTCTCGCTACTAAACCAAATAAACGTGTGGTTTTACAATTGTATAAAATATAAACTCATATACTATTACACATTTTTCATGTATTTATCTAGCGAGTTTTATAATATTTATGCACCAAATTTTCCTTTAAGATAGGAAAATTAAATGATTTGATAAATTTTTTGTAGTCGATAAAATTAATTTTAACATAAAATAGGAAAAAATCTAAATGAATTTAACTTTAAAGAAGAAATAATTTAAGTAATATGAAAATTTTAAAATGGGAATCGATAATTTCGCGTGTAGTGTCACACAGAGCCATAGTTTAAGAGAAATTTAATAGGGGGTAACGAATAAAACTAATTTTGATGACGATTCATTTTATTGATGTTTAACAATCAATTGCAATTATTAAAAACAAGATCTTACTTGAAACAGGCGAGATAGACCTGGCGGTGTGCAACCAGGGTATAGCCAATCCTAACGAATGGGCCCAAGGCGGTGCTGGACATACCCCCGATTCGGTAGCAACGACTCCTACGGGTTTGGTACCATTACTTGCCGGGTGATTGCGGACCCCATTTACGTTTCCCAGTCCCAAAACTCCGCTGCTAGGTTTGTCGAGTATGCCATCCACGGTGAAGCACTTAGAATTGTTAAGCGGCACCGGTGAAGGCGTTTTGGGATTCTCTTTGGCCCTGTCGTTGGACAGTAAAGAGTCTACGGAGAAGGAAATCACTTTAGCTTGCTGGAATTCACGCTTCGAGTCCGATAATTTTCTTGAAGTTAGGCCTCGAGGTACAATAACTGTAACGGGTGCTCCGGCCGACATGGCTGTTCTATCGCCGTTGCTTGGCGGTACAGAATCCGTAATAGCAACCGGACTAAGTTGCATTTCCGTAATGTTTTTATCTCTCCCACATCGCAAACCGTGCCATGACTCGGGTCTTGTTGGTACGAAGTCTCTACTCGAGCCAGGTACAAACCGTCGACACCATCGAGTGGGTGGAGTAGGTGTATCCGTCCATTCTGATTGGCTGCGGTGACATTGGCGTGAGTCGGACACGCCTACCTCACTCTGTAAGGAAGAAAGAGGTGGAGGTTGAAGTAGAAGTCTCGGGGGCAGTAACTGCTTCCGATTAGTGTGTCATCCGTCACGATTTGTCACGATGTGAAGTCACGGATTTTTGGTGCCGGGGACCGGCTGTTCGATGGAAGCGACTCACCCCGATCGTATTCTCTACACCTGGCTGCGCCACCTGGTAGAATAAGATGGATAAGAATAAAACAGTTTTATGCCAACAACGGATGGAGAAGAATGGTGGCAATCGTTGCTGACACCATTGGATTATAGCCAATTTACTAACTTGTCTTACATATGACGTATGACTTTAACCTCTCGTGCCTTTTATCCTTGCCTAAAATATAAGTAATCACTGAAGAACTTGAGAAAAATCTTACTTATTCTTAAACATGTTGTAGTACAATAATTCTGGTATAGCCTAATGTTACGTATTAACACAGATCAAATCTTAAGACCTGAATATAAACTAGGTTATTGATAATGAAATTCCACTGTAAAAAATGCATACAAATTATAGAAATGAATTTAATAATTTATAACCTAAAAAAATCTGTAAATCTTTATGAAAAGTTGTGAATTATGATTATAAATTAGATTCATAAAAATATTTTTTTAAAACCTATCGCAGATTAATTTTTAAATTAATAAGCAAATAAATAAAACCGCATCCAGGATCTATCGATATCGAATTTTTGTATGGACTTTAATTATACTAAAATAAATTTAAATATACATTTAAATTTATTATAGACCTTTAAATCGATATAGTTAAAATATTTAAGTTAATTTATTTATTTAAAAAATTCTTATAATCTTTACGGAATTTTAAAATTAATTTTTTAATTTAAATCATGTAAATTGTTTATTATTAATCATTGAAATTAATTTTATAGTTTCTAAAAAATATCTAGTATATAATTATTGTTTATTAATTCTAAATAAGTCTGTTTAACTCTTAATCTTACCTTTAACTTTATTGATTTATATCATATTTATATTATACAGTATTTTATTAAAATATAATTTATATTTTCTACAATAATTATATAAAATAATTAATTAATTTTGAGGTAGACTCACTTTTAAACATAAATTAAATCTACATGCCCTTATACGAGCCGAGAAAATAATTTTATTTTCAGTTACTACGCCCATACAAATATAAATAAGTCGCTGAGATCTACAGTACTTGTTAAACTTTAGCAAAGAATAAGTTATTTTGCCTTTACCAGGTGCATCTAAAGACAACACACGTGGCTCGGCTTAAACACTACATTCAACTGGTGCTACACAAATCAATACCGATTACCACACCTTGCTAACTGCAATGTTTTCTTATTGAAACACCTCATTCACTTCCCACTGAGGTGCCATCTAATCTCACAACTATCAATAACAACAGCCAAAGTCAACGCCTTCGCACTAAACCCTATATACAATAGAGAACAAAACTTCTCATTCAAAGGCATTCAAAGCGGTACTGAAAATCCCTGGCTTACAACTAAAACCCGAATATTGCTGTGGTGTAGGTTGCCTCATTTGTACTTTTAAATATTCAGAACTTTCATGTAAAGAAATATGTCGAGTGTCGTGTCGATAGCACTCGACAATTTTCTACAATGTTTGGATGAATGGTAGGAAGAGAAGTCTAAGTATAGGAATTGGCCCTCCTACCGTGTTGGAAATTGGAAATACCATGTTTTACTACAAAAAGCAAGATTGTAATCATACTTCTCTGCAATTTTGTTATTGGTTAAAGATAAATAACAGAATCCAATCATCAGAAATATAATAATCTGTAATTAAAATTGATTACTTTTGTGTAGAAGAGNTGCCTAATAATTCCAATTATTGTTATTAATTTAGGCTGTTTGGTTACAGAGTTTAGACAAAGTTATAACAAAAAAGCGAAATAAAAATACTTTATTTAAGACCTTTACGTAGTGATGTTATATTATATGCCATAGAATAAAACACGACAGCTATATCAGTAATTGGAACTTGTTATTATTGATAGATCTAGCGTGTGATTATAACCAAAACATTTCAATATTTTATTCATTACGTCACTTAAATATCGAACCAATTTATCATTAGATAATGGAACAACTTGTACTTGTTACCAAACTGGTTTGCCATGGGAATTGCATTAACTCTAGTTTATGTAATCTGTACTTTGTTAAGGTAAAGTCAAATGCACTTTGTAAACACAATAAATCCTTATTAGTTATTTATTGTACAACATGGTAGCAATTAGTTTGAAGTAGATTATTTCAATTTAGACTATGTAAAATTATCTATCATTTATGAAAAAATGGTTTAATAAATTATTTAGTCAACACGAAAATTTTTTTTGTCAGTGTAACTTAAATGGATTTTTTAATAGATTTTTAATGAGGAAAAAGTATAACTATTGTTTAGTATTAGCCTGGTAATAATTTTCTTAAGAATTATAATTATTACGCAAATTGATATCAATTAAAATTTCATAATAACTTCTTACTTCATATGTTTAATAGTTATTCATGATAACTATATATATACATGTAAATAAATTTTCAGTTTGAAAATGATTTGGTAATCTCAAACATAAGATATAATTCATTTAAATATTCGAATGAACTTTATATTTTATTAATTAGAGAAAAACAGTATTTATAAATAGGTTTATTATACTCACAGAGAATTTAATTAACTCTTTATTTGTCCAAAAAATTAAAATTTACAGTAAAATTATATTCATGATCAATGCAAAACTCTTCAAAACATTATAAAATATGAAGTAATTTGATTCCAAAACAATTTATAAAGAGCAGGAACAAGTTAATGAATTTCAGATATTCTTGGTCAAGGTTTAATATTATTTCATTTACTATAGCCTACAACAGAAATTTAAAATTCGTAATGTTAACTCAAGAAATTTTATAATTTCAGTTATTTCAAGAATAAAAATTTTAAAACTTAGTAGTTCTGTATGCTTCTTGATTGATTTTCTTCGTCGTTTTAATGATTTAAAAATAAAATTCTAGAATTGGAATGTTTAGATTTATCTTAAATTAACTTATATGAGGGAATTTTGATTTTTAATTGATTTTTACTATTTTAAAATAATTTACTAATTTATAATTGTCCTAGTTTTAATATTATGATAACGTTAGTGTTATAAAAAGTTAAAAATAGTTATATTTTTGGTAGAGAAACAAACACATCAGTGCAAAATTTGGACTACTGTAAAATGGATTCGTCGCTATATATATGGGGTATATATTTTTCCTTTAATTAAAATCGTATATATTTAGCTGCAAAATAATCTCATTATAACTGATAATTAAATTCATTAATTAACATTTTTTTTTTGTTGTTCCTGTTATCATTAGATTTCTGATTGGTGTTTAATTCATCGATAATAAGTTTCTCTTCACAGTCTCACCTGTTTCTTTCAAAATTAAAGAAGTCTAAGTAAAATAAATATAATTTGTATTATAATTGTCTGCTTTATTTAATATAATTATTTTAAGCTTTTTTTTTTGTATATTTTTTTGTATGGAATTTTGTGCTGCTGTGGAAAAAAAATCTTCTGTCCTAAAACATTAGCTAATTGTAAATAAAATAAATAAATTATTAACCTCAGTCAGTTTTTAATGAAACTAATCGGGTGCTAAACTGTAATTTAAAAATGTTAAAAAATTAAAATTACGTTCATATCGATAAAACATTAAGTTATTAATACAAGGCTTTAGGATAATAAATTTTAAATTTACGTGTTGTAATATAACATTTTCATTTATTTAATTATTTTAATTTGTTACGAAAATCATCATCCGTAACCAACTTCTTAGCAAAGCTTAGATGATAGAATGTAAAAGATGATCTATGATAAAAGTAAAATAGCAGTCAAGAATTAAAGTAATTATTAATTAAATTATGTTAAAATAATCTTTATATATAGGTCTATATATAAATTTAGGTTATGTATTAAGACCAAGTTAATAGGTTAAGATTTTCTAATAAAAATTGAAATATAATGCAAGGATTATTCTTGCTGTGAGACGAGACGTGGAAGTAAACAAATAAATTTATTCATTAATTTAGCAAACAATGTATTAGAAATTAAATAAATAAAACTATTTAAAGCTTTCTTTATCTCTTAAAAATTTGCTTTTTTTTACGATTTTATGGTTGAATATAGCCTAACAGATCTAAAAACCAATTTAATTTATACATAAATATATTTTAGTTAATAAAACTGAGTAAACATGATTTATTTAACAGCCTAAATCGATTTAATTAATAAACTAATAAGCTAATAGTAAAAAAAAAACTATTTAAAACATTTGGTGTAACGATAGATTGCATTATAATAGACTATAATTATCTTTTTTTAAATTTTTTTTCGTTCATTAAGATGAATGAGAATAGAAAGCAATTTTATTTTTCCAAGATCAAACAGTTATTTAAACTGTACAACTTAATTACAGCTAAGCCAATCGCTTTATTAGCTTTTGGTTGTAATTAGGTTGTACACACGAATTTTCCTTTGGCCTCGAGCGAATTCAAAGAAAAATCGTGCATAACGCATTCAACCTATCACAATCTCTCACAATTAATTTCATTTTAATAAATAAAAATTTTGTATAACATTTAAAAATAAAAATAAAAATAATAAAATTTACTAATTCAAAAAAAAATCTTTTGTTTATTAACACTTTAATCGACTATTTATAGTTGATTTTTAAATAAAAACGAAGAATATTTCAAATTATAAATATAATTAAGTTTTCTAAATTATAATAAAACTTAATTATAATTATAATTTAAAATATTTTTGTTTAATTACATAAAATAATAAAAAAATAAACTCAAAAAATAATAATTTATTTATTAAACAAATTTCTAAATCAATTATGCTTATAAAATTTATGATTCACACAAATTAAACATATTCTTTTATTTATATAATAAGATTTTAAGCATTAAACTTATAAGATTTAAAATAAAACTGTATGCTTATTATATATATGCATACACCATTTTTTAAGTCTAAATATTTATAAGCTTAATATAACTCAATTTTAAAGCTAAATATAAGCTGTAATTTCTACAAAAATGTAAAATAAATATTGTTTTTTGCTGAATTAGATTTAATAAAATATTATTAATAATAAACCATTATTATAGGCTTACTAATTTCTAGAATTTTTCTTGCTTATTTTATTTAAATTTTTCAACTGTTATTAAAATTAATAGCCAATTTCCAATTTGTGTAAACTTTAAAGGCACTGTACTGTACACCTTCAGTTTAATTTAAGCTGATTGGTTTAAATCTGCAGTAATTTCTCTCGATACCTCTAAACTGATTTAATATAGATTAGTAAGCGCATATTTTTATAAAATTATTACAGATTTTTTAATAAGTTTTAAGTTTCAGGCCTGTGGAGGCCTGTACAGTACATAACTTTTAAAATATTACATAACTTTATACTTTTATCTGATTTATCTCTCGCTACTAAACCAAATAAACGTGTGGTTTTACAATTGTATAAAATATAAACTCATATACTATTACACATTTTTCATGTATTTATCTAGCGAGTTTTATAATATTTATGCACCAAATTTTCCTTTAAGATAGGAAAATTAAATGATTTGATAAATTTTTTGTAGTCGATAAAATTAATTTTAACATAAAATAGGAAAAAATCTAAATGAATTTAACTTTAAAGAAGAAATAATTTAACTAATGTGAAAATTTTAAAAATGGGAATCGATAATTTCGCGTGTAGTGTCACACAGAGCCATAGTTTAAGAGAAATTTAATAGGGGGTAACGAATAAAACTAATTTTGATGACGATTCATTTTATTGATGTTTAACAATCAATTGCAATTATTAAAAACAAGATCTTACTTGAAACAGGCGAGATAGACCTGGCGGTGTGCAACCAGGGTATAGCCAATCCTAACGAATGGGCCCAAGGCGGTGCTGGACATACCCCCGATTCGGTAGCAACGACTCCTACGGGTTTGGTACCATTACTTGCCGGGTGATTGCGGACCCCATTTACGTTTCCCAGTCCCAAAACTCCGCTGCTAGGTTTGTCGAGTATGCCATCCACGGTGAAGCACTTAGAATTGTTAAGCGGCACCGGTGAAGGCGTTTTGGGATTCTCTTTGGCCCTGTCGTTGGACAGTAAAGAGTCTACGGAGAAGGAAATCACTTTAGCTTGCTGGAATTCACGCTTCGAGTCCGATAATTTTCTTGAAGTTAGGCCTCGAGGTACAATAACTGTAACGGGTGCTCCGGCCGACATGGCTGTTCTATCGCCGTTGCTTGGCGGTACAGAATCCGTAATAGCAACCGGACTAAGTTGCATTTCCGTAATGTTTTTATCTCTCCCACATCGCAAACCGTGCCATGACTCGGGTCTTGTTGGTACGAAGTCTCTACTCGAGCCAGGTACAAACCGTCGACACCATCGAGTGGGTGGAGTAGGTGTATCCGTCCATTCTGATTGGCTGCGGTGACATTGGCGTGAGTCGGACACGCCTACCTCACTCTGTAAGGAAGAAAGAGGTGGAGGTTGAAGTAGAAGTCTCGGGGGCAGTAACTGCTTCCGATTAGTGTGTCATCCGTCACGATTTGTCACGATGTGAAGTCACGGATTTTTGGTGCCGGGGACCGGCTGTTCGATGGAAGCGACTCACCCCGATCGTATTCTCTACACCTGGCTGCGCCACCTGGTAGAATAAGATGGATAAGAATAAAACAGTTTTATGCCAACAACGGATGGAGAAGAATGGTGGCAATCGTTGCTGACACCATTGGATTATAGCCAATTTACTAACTTGTCTTACATATGACGTATGACTTTAACCTCTCGTGCCTTTTATCCTTGCCTAAAATATAAGTAATCACTGAAGAACTTGAGAAAAATCTTACTTATTCTTAAACATGTTGTAGTACAATAATTCTGGTATAGCCTAATGTTACGTATTAACACAGATCAAATCTTAAGACCTGAATATAAACTAGGTTATTGATAATGAAATTCCACTGTAAAAAATGCATACAAATTATAGAAATGAATTTAATAATTTATAACCTAAAAAAATCTGTAAATCTTTATGAAAAGTTGTGAATTATGATTATAAATTAGATTCATAAAAATATTTTTTTAAAACCTATCGCAGATTAATTTTTAAATTAATAAGCAAATAAATAAAACCGCATCCAGGATCTATCGATATCGAATTTTTGTATGGACTTTAATTATACTAAAATAAATTTAAATATACATTTAAATTTATTATAGACCTTTAAATCGATATAGTTAAAATATTTAAGTTAATTTATTTATTTAAAAAATTCTTATAATCTTTACGGAATTTTAAAATTAATTTTTTAATTTAAATCATGTAAATTGTTTATTATTAATCATTGAAATTAATTTTATAGTTTCTAAAAAATATCTAGTATATAATTATTGTTTATTAATTCTAAATAAGTCTGTTTAACTCTTAATCTTACCTTTAACTTTATTGATTTATATCATATTTATATTATACAGTATTTTATTAAAATATAATTTATATTTTCTACAATAATTATATAAAATAATTAAATAATTTTGAGGTAGACTCACTTTTAAACATAAATTAAATCTACATGCCCTTATACGAGCCGAGAAAATAATTTTATTTTCAGTTACTACGCCCATACAAATATAAATAAGTCGCTGAGATCTACAGTACTTGTTAAACTTTAGCAAAGAATAAGTTATTTTGCCTTTACCAGGTGCATCTAAAGACAACACACGTGGCTCGGCTTAAACACTACATTCAACTGGTGCTACACAAATCAATACCGATTACCACACCTTGCTAACTGCAATGTTTTCTTATTGAAACACCTCATTCACTTCCCACTGAGGTGCCATCTAATCTCACAACTATCAATAACAACAGCCAAAGTCAACGCCTTCGCACTAAACCCTATATACAATAGAGAACAAAACTTCTCATTCAAAGGCATTCAAAGCGGTACTGAAAATCCCTGGCTTACAACTAAAACCCGAATATTGCTGTGGTGTAGGTTGCCTCATTTGTACTTTTAAATATTCAGAACTTTCATGTAAAGAAATATGTCGAGTGTCGTGTCGATAGCACTCGACAATTTTCTACAATGTTTGGATGAATGGTAGGAAGAGAAGTCTAAGTATAGGAATTGGCCCTCCTACCGTGTTGGAAATTGGAAATACCATGTTTTACTACAAAAAGCAAGATTGTAATCATACTTCTCTGCAATTTTGTTATTGGTTAAAGATAAATAACAGAATCCAATCATCAGAAATATAATAATCTGTAATTAAAATTGATTACTTTTGTGTAGAAGAGACAAAAAAAAAATTAATTTGAGTAAATAATTTTAAAATTTAGCGTATAAATTCTACGGAAACAAATGAATTTCAGAATAATAAAGGTTATTAATACATATTTAAAACTAAAAATTTAATTAATAGTGATTTAAAAAAGCTATTTAATAACAGATTTTCAGTAGGAGAAATTCGCCGCTCTGGCATGTTCACAGCCTCTTTTTTTTTTTAAATTTTTAATTTAATCTGTATAAAATTTATGCTGATTTGTCCAAAATTGTAACATTAATTCCAATTAGAAGTAGATTTATAAAGTTAATAATAAATAATTTAAGTTTTATTAAGTTTAATTTAAGTAATAAAAATTTTAGTATTAATTAGTGTAATTAAACTTCAACAGAGCTGAATATATTTATAGACATTACATTTGGCAAAATTATTGAAATAATATTGTCCATAGTTTAATAAATTAATTGTAAATGAAAACCTAATTATTTTATATATTTTTTTTAACAATTAAACCACAGCAGGGTGATAAATATTCCTGAAATAGTAAGAACTTTATGAATTCTTGGTATATTAAAAATTTACAGCTACATTATTAAGTTAATAAACCTATTTAACTAATAATGAGCAGATAATTCCAATATTTTTTGTGTAAAAGAATATATAATAATTTCAATTTGTACTCAAACAATATAAATAATAATTAAGATTACTGTTTTTACTGTTTTAAATACTTGAAGACAGGTTTAACTTGTTGATGTTCAAAACAGGAATGAGAAAAGAAGAAATAAGAAAGCAATTTGATAAAGAAAAAGCTTGATACTAAGAAGATAAGTAAGCAATAATAATATATTATCAAGTATGATTAATTTGATTAAAATGTTCCTGTAGACCCTATATATTTCTTCTAATATACAGTTTTTATGATCTTATATGAAATTTCAAATATGACTGTTCAGGTAGGATTATATGTTAAAAATTTATTTTTATAATAAATATATTTATATAGGATATTTAGTCTATTTATTTTTAATGTCATTTGCTTAGTGACAATATCTATTGTTATAATTAGTAATTAAATAATTTAAAATATAATCAGAAATTATAAAGAAGTGTATGACTTTAGTCTGTTTCTTATGCCTACTTTCTTTTCTATTTATTTATTTATAATAAATTTGATGATTTAATTAAATTTATTTATAGATTTTAAAGTAAATAAATTTTAAAATAAATAAATAAAAATGTATTTTTAAAGATTTATAAGACGATTAGAACAGATTTAAGCACGAGACACTTCGAAAATCAAAATAGAAATTAATTTATTCATCTTAATTAAGCCACATAATACAGAAGATTTATACAATTTTTAAAATATTTATCTAAACTTGAAATTATAATTAGTTCATTAATAATGAATTAATTGTTATAATTTATGCTTAGTTTTTTCTTATTTTCACTTCTTATCATGGTGCAGTACGTAGACCTATAACAACTCGAAATTTCAGTATGTAGATTTAGTATTATTGTTATCATCTATCCCACGAAGAAATTTAAATGTATCGTCTTCATAAATAATTCTAAATCAAGCAGAGTTTGCCATTATCTGAAATCTACTCGGTTCCTGAATAATGATCATGACCACACGTGGATGCACCAAATCGGATTAGTAAGTGTGAAAGTCGCTTGACACCCCAGCCTCAATCATCGATAGAATCTGAACGAGTGCAGTAGGGATCTTTCTTGACAACAATTGTGTATTCTGTCAAGTCTATTCAATCACCGCACACATCGCCAGTAATCGGATCCTGAGAGATAACATCTTTCGATCTATATGAGGTTAGGTTAAGGGAGCCATTTTTATACCCTTCAGCTTATGTTGGATAAACATTATTGTGGAAATGAGTAAACTAAATTGATTTCTTCGCATATATTTTTACACTCTGAAAGATTTTTCTTGCTTCTTTACTCGAATTAAATTGTAAAATCTCGAAGATAAATTTGATTAATAAGCACACATTTTTAAAAGATTACCCTCTTTATTACGGTTAAGGTATTATAGGCACGAAATCTTCTTGAAATCACTTTTGTCGTATGCAACAAATAAAATTTCTGAGACTAATAGTGATATATGTATGATATTTTTTTACGGAACCTGTTTCTCCAGTTATTTTACCTGAAGAATCCTGTTGCTAACTTAAGATATGAGATATTCACGTGACTTGAAAAGAGAAGAGAAGTGAACAAAATCGAGAATTTATCTTTAAGACGTAACATGTTCACTTTTGCTTTAAAAGCAGTTTATTTTAATAATAAGACACATTCGTGATAAGCGGGTTCTTACATAAGTTAGGCTACATTGTAGAAGTGAATTGAAAGGTTTAAATTTAGCGATTTTCTTCTAATTATGCGTTAAAATTTCATGTGAAATGGTTAGAAAAGGTTATAAATTTAGCTAATTTCTTCCGATTATGCATCAAAATTTCATTCTATTTTTTTTTTATTTCGCTTCTTTTATTATGAAAAAATATATAAAAATTATTCTTCAAATCGTTCATAAGCTTACAAGTCTATTATCTTCTGTATTAAGTATTTAAAACAATAATCGTAGAAATGAGTGAATATAATTTAACTATAAATTAATCCACAAAAGGTTCAAAAATATAAAAATGATTTAATTATAGATCTATTTAGTCTATAGTCTATGCGATTAATTATCTCTAGTGAAACTAAATGATGTTATTACTTAGATAAGTAGCTGGATAGGAAAATAAATCAGCGGCTTTTTTCAACTTGTATCCAGTAATTAAAAAGTCAAGATAAACTGATGACTCATAAAAGAAAGCAATCAATCGTTTTGTCTTCATTACTGACCCGTTTCTCGTGGTATGATAGATTCTATTACAAATGGCTAATTTGTACAAATACCCTGAAATCTATTTCGTGAAAAATGAAAAATTACTCGATTAATATTGATATAAACACGTCTAAAATGTTTATTTTTCGTAATTTAATCATCTAGATCAAATTGAAATTTATCCTAAACCTTGATTAAGTAAAGGATGCGCCTATTTGTATCTATTAATTTGAATCTGTTTATAATGAACCCGTAAATAAAGTTTGATTTTATCAAGTAATTATCTTCAGGGTTTGAAGTAAATTAATTATATCTGCTATTTTCTTACACGAAAAATCAAAATAATTAAGTATAGTTTAGGGAGTTACATTCCCTACTCCCTTGAAATGTGATTTATCGACATACATTTCAAGTGTGAGGAATAATTTATATGTAATAAATTAATGATTATTGTTTTCTTCTTAATACACCTTTCAATAATAAAGAGATTTACTAATATATATTCTATATTTTTATATTTCCTTTTAAAAGAAAATACTAATTACAACATGTATACAATACTTTTACGATGTTATCGAAATTTCGAGTAT